AAAAAACTTAAATGAAAATTAATTAATGACACACACACACACACACACACACACATATATATATATATATATCATTAATTCTATATATATATGAAATATATGTATATATTTCATTAATTATTTTCAGTTAAGTTTTTTTAAGTTTAACTTTTTCAACTAATAGTTATATTTTATTTCAGATTTATTTTAATCGCTGAAAACAAATTTGAATACATTTCGTTTGCATCTCGTTGCATATTTTAAATTGGTTAAGATGCTCAGATGCATTGTGAGAAACCTCCTCTTGTGAGTTCTGGAGATGATGGAGAGGCAGATGTGCATGGAGGCATATTGGCATTGTGACATCTGTGTTTGGGGAGCTGCCAAATGAGGCACATGTTTTTCCCAAGAGGAGCTCAATAGATGTTCATTTTCTCCTCCAGGGATAATGGCTCTCTCTGATCAGGTTATCATCAACCACTCGGTCTCACAGGGCAGTTTGACTGACTCTAAGGAGTTGCTTTTGCATGGATATTGGACAAATTGGTGAAATTCAAAACACACCACATACCCAAAACACATTTCTAATGAATGAATGAGGCATTTATAATATAGCAATTTACTATGTACTACTGTACACCCAAAGCGGTTTACAATCATATCGGGGTCTCTCCTCAACCACCACCAGTGTGCAGCATCCACTTGGATATTGTGAGTGTGACGGCCATGATTGATAAGGGCAAACAGAGGGAATTTTGGCCAGGACACCGGGGTTACACCCCTACTCTTTACGAGAGGTGCCATGGGATTTTTAATAACCACAGAGAGTCAGGACCTCGGTTCTCATCCGAAGGACGGTGCTTTCTGACAGTATAGTGTCCCCATCACTATACTGGGGCGTTAGGAGCCAGACCCTCACAGACTACAGGGTGAGCACCCCCTGCTGGCCTCACTAACACCTCTTCCAGCAACTACCTGGTTTTCTCAGGAGTCTCCCATCCAAATACTGGCCAGGCTCAGCCCTGCTTAGCTTCAGTGGGCAACCATGCAGTCTTGGGCTACAGGGTGATATGGCTGTAACACGCTGTGAAACGATAAAACAGTTACTCAATGTTTTGTTACTCAATTTCTAAACTATGAAATTTAACTTTTTGCATTTAGCAGACTCTTTTATCCAAAGTGACTTTACAATAGAGGAACATATTCTATAACAGCTATTCTATAAAAACTATAACAACAGTCACAAGATCAGCCTCAAAATCGTATTTATTTACAGAACAGAACTCGAATCTAGAATAACACAATCGTTTTCAGTTACTGGTCAGTTTTGGTTATTAACTAAAACTAAACTATTAAAAAAATGTTTGTCAACTGAAATAAAGCACAACATAAATATTAGATAAAAAACTATAAACGTAAACTATCAAATAAAAAAAAAAGTCTAATTTTGCTTTGCCAACTACCTGAAATATTAAACTAAAATATACTAATAATGATATATAGAACTATAAGCTAATTAAAAATCGTTATAAAAACTATAATAGTAGCCTATATAAATAGTAATAAAATAAAACTTACCGATGCCATTGCAGAAATGCACTGATTATCCATGCTCAATTATAGGTATTGAGTAAAAGCAGTATTCGATTGGTCATGTGATCTCAAGAGGGCATCCTGGTTATAGTGGTTAGTTTTCAGAGCTTCAGATATGAATGCTTCTCTGGCCTACTGCATTATGAACTCTTTCTCCTTTTTGTTATGTTAAAGCACACAGCAGCATGCTGGGAGAATGTGATTTGTTGACTCCCACACTGTTATTCAAGGACATTTACGGCAGCCTGACCAGGTGATTCAGTTCAACAGCTCAAAGAGAAACAGTGAGATGAGATGCCGGACAAGCAGTCCACTTGAATTTATATATAACCTCTATGGTGGGCGTTCAGTCGCTGGACTGCAGAACTCTCCAGCTGGAGCTTCAATCCCTTTCCAGGCGAGTCTGGGTCTTCGGTGTCACATGATCATTCAGAAATCATTCTAATATGCTGTTTTGCTGCTCAAGAAACATTTATTATTATTATCAATGTTGAAAACAGTTGTGCTACTTAATATTTTGTGGAAAACGTGATGCATTTATTTTTAAGGATTATTTTATGAATAGAAAGCATTTATTTGAAAAAGAAATCTTTTGTAACATTGTCTTCTGTTAGTTTTGATCAATATAATGCATCTTTGCTGAAGATAAAAAAAAACTTACTAACCCCAAACTTTTTCAATTGAGGAGCATCAGTAAAATCATACAATCAAAAAGTGTACAATTAGGTGAAATGCTGACATCTAGTGGTGTGATCACACACAACAGCTATTCATCAAATACACGTCAGGCTGGACAGTACTGACCTTGGCTTTGAGAAAATGTCAAATTGCCAATATTACAATCAGTAACACAAAGAAAAATATATTTCTTCAGATGCAGTATTTGTGCTTAAACATTTATCAGTGGAAATCTTCACTTCCATCTTTAAAACAGACTGAAATACGCATGACTATTTTCAGATCAGTTGAGTAATTGAGACACGAGACACATTTGAGAGCAGTCACTATACTTTATTTGAGGCGAGTAGTAGCATAAAATTTAATCTGTACATTATGTAACAATTACGTCTGATCAGGCCCTGAATACGTTAAATACTCGAGAGTAAAGGTGGACAAAAATGGCATGTCCAGCACAACAGTAATACAGCTGCTCGCACCTAAAATAGAGAGTTTTGGTAAAGTGGAGACATTCACTCAATGAGAAGAAATATTGTCACTGAAGTGTGTCTGAGAGAAAAGACAAAGAGAAGCTGCTGGTCGAATCCCAGGAGCAATTTTTGCAACGCTGCACCATGTTGTCAGTCGTGCTACACTGTTTGTTCAATCTTTTGAACGCTGTGAGTGGAAGTCTGAGGTAAAGGATTGATTCTTTTGTAGTGTTTTATCTGACCAGTTTTAAAAACAGAGAAAGCATCACTTCTCATTTATCCAGAAAAGAAGAATGACAGTTGGGCCATGACATAAATTAATAAAACTAAAGATACAGATGTACAAAATTAACATTAAAATATTTAATAATAATAATATCAATAAAGGATTTCTTTCTTTGTGACATAAAAAAACCTCATGCTCTTTTCACAATCTTAAACAACATTCATATGTACATACGGTGCATTTTAAATCGAGTCTTCTACTAAACAGGGGGCTTTTTTTAAAAGTTTGGCTTTTCATCTTATTCAACCTTCTTCCCAGATTCCCCAAATAAAACACCAAAAACAGACAAGGGTACAGGACAGCACCTGGTGAAAACACTCTACAGGCCAGCAGCAGTCACTCAGGATTAGTGAATCTTCTGTAGTGTTTACAGTCAAAGAACCTCACAGGAGATGCTCTCCGACCAAGAGCACTCGTCCTCCTAACCCTAACCTGCAAAGAACTTTAGTTTGGGCTTATAACCATCTGGCCTTCAATTTTGCACCTACAGAGTCCAACGGAAGGCCTTTGAAAGATGGCATGGGCCCTTATTACTTTACCATTCTGACAGCAGTCAGATGAAGTACAACAGAATGAGCTGGCTGAGAATGCTACAGTAGAGAGAGATAGAAAGCTTTCATTGAAAGGGCTCGATTGCATACGGTTGTATGAACCTGAACATTGTCAAATGCATCACATGGGGTATCACGAAAGGTAATGAACCAAAATTTCAGAATTTGTTCAGACAAGCAACAGAAATCCGTTTTTTGTATCATGCTCGAATCCGTTTAGATATTCGTAGTGTGAATGGGTGAAAAAACAAGCATGAAACGCAATGTTTACAAACCGGATTCGAACCACATCCACATGTGGTTTGAAATCAGATTTTTATGCGTCAAGTCTGAATGGTCAGATCAGATCTCAATTCATTTTTTCACCATTCAGGATTTGACGTGATTAATATCAAAAGCAAAATGAACAAAATCACTGAGCCACTGAATCATATTTCAGGTTTTGTTCAGACAGCAGAAATCTGAATTAGTGTCCGACTCAAATCAGTTTAGTTTGTAGTCTGAACGGGAAAAACAACCCCACATAAAAATACGATTTTTACAAGCCTGATTCAAATCAGACGCTTATGTAATTTGAAATCAGATTAAAATCAGTTTAATTGTGAACAGATTCCAGGCAGATTTTTCATCATCTGGGATGCAATGTGATAGTACCGGTAATGAATGACAGATATTGACTACACTGTCTGAACAAATGGATTAGATTTCTTGCAAAATGACAGTTGATCCTAAAAATTGGATTTGAAAATCAAAATGGATTTAAGTGCAGTTTGAACAAAGCCTACGAGCAGCAGCAGACAAGCTGTTCATTTGAAAGACTGTCAGCCAGTCGGCAGAGAGTTACTGCATGTGTTCGGTCCCCATTACAGCATATTATTATCTTAATACTCTCAGACAACCGGGCATCATAACATATGCATAGCATGTCGTAAGCTTGACGTCAACTTCAGTTCATGATGTACATTATGGTTTAAGCAACCCGCTAGGCGCTTATATTTCTACCACACTGGAAGTGGCCTGTGATCTGTGAAACAGTCCCTGCTTAGGATGTTATTGCACATAATATGACCACACTAATAAGGTGTTATATATCAAGGGCCCTTGCATACATAATACAACAAGGGTAACCAGAATGGCACCAGAGGGCTCAAAGCAAAGGGAAACGCTTCCTGAGACATACTGAGATACAGTTCTTGTAGAAGTGTGTAGAAGGTCGCCTGGCTGCTGATCTGAAACCAGTTTAACGTGACAGACAGTGATCATAGAAGACCAGGATTGAAGGATTCCAAATGAAAATGAGTGATGCCCTGAAGACAGGAAATACTTCAGATTAACGAATAATGAAGGGGTTTCCATGACTGCCAACGGGATCTCATGCACAAGCTCCACGTGATAACAAAGGTTTGAAAAACAAAGGAAAAAAAAGAACACGAGGCATGCACATACGTCAATGTTGTGAGGACACCGCAAACCTATATTGGTAAGTGCTTCTGTATTATTTTCACAAAATTCATATTTTCAGGGATTTTTTTCTTCTCAACAGGTCTCGATAAATGTCAAAACGGTCACAATGCTAAAAAAACAACAAAACAAAAGTATCACATTTTAAACAGCAGGGCAACACAGAGAACGACTAAAAGAAAGAAGGCAGAACACTGGTTTATGAATGGCCATCGTTTCTTGGCATAATCTGTCATATAAAAAAACTTTTCCCCGTATTTAAAAAGCTTCCGTGCCAAATGGAGGTCATCGAAAAGCCTCTTTTTTTAATATCATATAGTGTTACAAAACAAACGCATTATTAGGATGAGAAACTGAGGTATACCTTGTCGAGAGGTTGGTGGTTATCTGACAGAAACTCTGAAAGCTTTCAGAGAAAACACGTGTTGATTTGGGTTGTATCGTCACCCTTTCTGTTGATATCTGTACAGCAGCGTCACACTACACATTCAAAAAGCTGTTTCTTATTGGCATTACAATAGTCATTCATATGAACACATTAAATGTGTTTGTTTACATGGACGTTGCCCTTTTTTATACTGAAATGACACTAGCGCCGTGCGGCGGAGTCTCGTTTACTCCTTGAACGGGAAAGTTTCTTCTCCAAGCAGAGAAACGACAACAACATTTTTGATGCCGGCTTATAATCTTCCGTCCTTTGCCGGAGCGCCCCGTGGTACTAGTTTATATATACACACACATACATTAACATAGCTGGCTCCAGGTGTACCTGTATTAAACCCAGATTCGGCGCAAAATGTATAGTCTGCATTTGCTCCAGCCGAAAGTACAGGACAATCATCCAGCATGTCTGAAGCCGGCTGTCAGAACAGCTGTCCACCACCATTCCCGACGCGTGTTTTCTGTTCGGTCAGCCCGCAATTCACATGCTGATATCCTCTAGTCATAGACTGGACTCCTTAGGGGGATAGTCCACGTTGGTCACCATGGTTACGACGGTGACTATTTCCTCTGGTGCAGAGATGCTGGTCTGCCGCTGCATTTGGACCACACGTTCCTCGACACATCCCGCGGAGAGACGCGCCTCGGCCTCGTGGTCCCAACACTCCTCTATAGTCTCGCACAGCATGGCCAGACCCTGTGACACATATGAACGCGTTTTATTTCAAGCATAATATTCACTCAATGAAAATTTTTGGTGAGGTTTTAGGATTGACGTTATGTACCGGATGTTTCTGCCAGCACTCCCTGAGAGTGGGCCGAAGCTTTTTGTGGACCACAACCTCCTGCATGTCCTCTAGAGAGGGATGTTGGCCCACCTCCTCCTCAAACGGAAGCATGTACTCGTCAACTGGACCTTCAGAAAAAATGAACAAACATCTGCTCAGATCAGGAAGTCCAATCACTGAGGGTGTTCTCAAACTTGGTTCAGGGAGCTACAAGGGGTACAAATTTGCAAGACAAAAACAAAAAGTGATTTTTCTAGGTATATGAACCTAAAACATTTGTTTGGTTTTGATTATTATCATCTCTATCGCGGTCACGCTCACGTGACATTGTAGTTCTTCATCATCATGAATGTTTATTAACTGCATGCATTTTTAAGCCATATCAGTCTAAACATCTGATATATGGTTTTCTGAGCGCACACATCCGAAACACAAGCAGAAAGCTGGATGTCAGACGGCGCGTCACGTGAGTATTAAACTAAGTTCTCTTTCACGTCTTATTGCGCTTAAACTGTCAAATACACACAAGGTTATGTCAAAAAACACAAAGTTCACATAACGCAATCGGTTATGTCTGTGAACGTAAACAGCAAGTGAAGAAATCACATGTGTATATTATACTGTGTATTTTAGACTGCGTTTACACTGGCACAACAAATCCAATCTTTTACCCACACCTGACACAGATCGGAATTTGTTGCACACGTGTAAACACAAAAATCCGCATGAGATCCGATTTTTTTGCATCCGATCTGAGCCACTTCCAAATGTGGTTTTAAATCAGATACATATCCGATATCTGGACATCTAAACACGCATATCCGATTCTTCTTTGAATTCCAAGCCAATACAAGGCAAGGATGACACGTTTATTCACAAAGATAGCTTTTTAATGTTGTATTATGAGGAAGACGTGCCTGTATGCGCTCGCTCACAGCTTTTTATTGAGGTGGGAACTTTATATTTATCTTTGTAAAGAAAAGAAATTGCGCGAACACCGAAACATTCAAGAGCTGGTTTTCAACCTCCGCCCGTGACTTTTATAAATAAAACAGCTTCACTACTAAAAGCTACATTATATTTCTCAGAAATGAGGTGATACCTTTGCTGTAATTAATTAAACCAACAAGCTTCACTATTAGGTTACTCACTCGCGTACGCTCTCTCTCTCTCTCTCTTCCTCGCTCGCTCGCTGTTTCTCTCTGGTTAATGCATTAAAAAATATATATATTGGGCTTTATTTCACTTCAGAATTCTAGATCTGAGCTGTAGATAAACGAAAAAATTCTGCAGATTTTGCGCAGCAAAACATATCTTGTCCATGCTGGCAAATAATCATGACCACCCGACATGAATATTATGTAAATGATTTTAATAGCACGGCCATTCAAAACAAGGGTCTATCATGTGTGTAGTAAAAAGGTTACCGAAAATCATTTTGGCCGGGAATTAATGTAAACACAGATATCGGATACCAGTCCTGTCTAAAGTTAATGTAAACAGGTGGGCCAAAAATTCGGATATGGTCAAAAGATCGGATTTGTGCATTAAGACTTGCAGTGTAAATGCAGCCATAGTGAAAGCAGCATACTATACAGTACCTACTGCTATATATGCTGTTAATATGAATCAAACAACAAAAGAAAAACAGAAAATCACTCACTGTTCTTGATCGAATAACTTTGATTAAAAAGTAGCTTTAATAAGAATGCATTTCTTACTTGAATGCTGCTGTTTAAAGCTCTGGCGAGGAGATAAACATGGCGGACTGTGTACAGCTCACTGAGGGCGGGGTCTAGTGGGCGGGTCTAAGCATATGTGACGTCACTGTTAGAATCTGCAAACGGCTTATTCTGAAACACTGCTTATGATTTATGGGGATTTAAAAAAAGGAGTGGGTGGGAGTGAATTTTGCATAATAGGTCCCCTTTAACTATTTTAAAATGCAGTTTGAGAAGAGAAGCTTTGGAGAAGCTTCCAGAAGAGAAGCTTTGGAAAAGAGGAAGTTGAACAAAATGACGTTTAACCACCTGATCTGCCATCACACTCTATCATCCATTCAATCCCATCATGCACTGAACTCAATGAGGTGGGTCGTCACACATGACGACCACTGTCACAACAGTCCCAGTCTGCTTCACCGTCCACACCTGATCAATACTGTTCCATTAGACCAGACAGCAATAATCAATAATGGCGAGCATACTGCACTTACAATGACAAGCTTATTCGGGAGCTCGAGTGGCAGTAAAACATACAGACAATGGGTGTGTGTGATCAGGGAGTGCTGCCAGACTGTTACAACTCTAATATCAATGAAATTTCTACTATATAAGTAAGGGATAATACACAGCTAGGTGTGCATTACAAGATTTTAATGGAGGCAAAGAATCACCTGAGTGGAAGTGTAAAAATTATGGTTATTTTCGTCAGTTACGATCCGTTAAATCTAGTGTTTTGCACAGACACGGAGAGAAAATAATGCAGTAAGATTACATTTATTTGAATGAAATTAGGGCTGGGCGATAAATCGATTTTATCGATTAACTCGAATGTGTAGTATACGTCGACTTGTTTGAATGAAAATCGGTTTTCTTTTTAACATCTGCCGACGCTCCCCTCTGGGCTCCCGTAGTTCTGAACGGGCTCAGCGTTTGCCATAGAGATACACAAACAGCATGGCAAATGAACAAGACCGTGGCAGCAGAAGCACACCCGCCGAAAACATTTACAAACTGAATCCGCAGGGCTGCCAACTCTCACGAGTTCACCGTGAGACTCACGCAATTGTCACTTTTCACACGCTCTCACGCCACACATCCATTTTCTCACGCAGAGAAAAATCACGAAGCAAAGAGGACACTGACACCGACAGACTAGACAGAGAAGGTTACTATTGATATGAAACAAATTCTCAGCTCTCAGGTTCTGTCAATTTAATTACAAAACTCAAACAATAAACACAGTTTTGGCGCTTGTAAATGTGACGTGACAGATCGCTGACAGATCTCAGTTCAAGCGGCACGTGAACCGATCGTCTGTTACTCTTTACTACTAGTTAATAGTAAATAAACACAAATGATCAATAGATAATTTGAAAGATACAGTTCAACTTACCGAAATGTAATAAAATCGATCGATCAAATGTTTTTCAACCGCGGAAAGAGGTCCATAAAACAGCTGGAGAATAATATGTCACGTAACATTACATTTACCTCAGGAAAGCCATTTACCTTACTGACCCATAGCACGTTAGTTGGACTTAAAAAAAATGCTATAGAGAGGAGTATTTTGCTAAATATGATAACTACCTGTATATTACATATTTATAAAATTTGTACCTATATCATTAAAATATAACATTGTTATTATAAAAAACGCATTATATTTAATTTGAGATGTTATTTTTAACCTTTAATAATAATACCAGCTGACAGGGCTCTGTATGTTTACAGCATTAGGTGAGTTTTTTTTTTTTATGGAGAACAATTAACATAACACATAAAAGCATACCAGTCATTGTACCATGTAAACATTGTGTTGTCACTAAACTTAATAAAATTCTGTTTAGTTACCAAATGTTTTGACAATCACAATACAATTATTGTGATGCAATTTTTTTTTTTTTTTTTTTTTTACACATCCCCCCAATCCCAATCCACCCATTTTATGTTATGTTACGTTATGTTATGTTACATCTTCACAGTTTACAAAGGCAGGGCCTGCCATCTTGTCTTTTTGGTTTGTTGTTTCTGATTGCACTTTAACCCCAAGGGGGAAATCCAGATCAAATCCCAGAAGGGAAAATCAAAACAAAATAAAGTTAAAACTTGTTTTGAACAATTTCTTTGTGATCTGCAGATTGATTTTAAAGAAGGGGGAGAGAAAAAATCGTTTTTTGGGTAGGCCATATCGCCCAGCCCTAAATGAAATATAACATTTATTTGAAAGAATTATTGAGAGGGAAAAAGAGAAAGATACTGTGCGTTTGTGAATTTCCTGCGTCTGTGCAACGTCTCTCTACTAATAGTGAAGCTTTGAGTTTAATTACTTCTAAAACAGCGATGTTACCATAACAGGGTTTCTGCACACTTTTTAAAGTCAAATGTAAGTTTTTAAGACCTTTTTAAGAAAATTAATACTCTGCATTAGGGGTTTGCAATATTGACAAAAATATGTCTCGATATTTTCAAAGTTTTGCTGAGAATAATTAGATAATATTTACTGATTGTGTTTTTGTGCTTGGTGCCATTGCTGGTTTAGGCCTGTTGTTGACAGCTGACTCACAAAGATATTCATATTTGTCATATTCTATGCAGTGGACAGTTCACAGCAGTGACAGAAATTTTTTTTTTTTTATTAAGGGGCAATATTTCCCACCTTAAATTGATTTCCAGGGGCATTTTCACCTATATATGGACATTTGTAGATGTATGCATCACCTTTTATGTCAAATTCTAACATTCAAATTAAATTCTATTAGAATAATAACACAATACCACTGTTACCAGTCAAATTAAATCATTAAATCAAAATCCATCTTTGCAGTGCAGAGGTGACACAGAAGCGGCATCAGAACTGGCATTAATATATTCACACTGCATTTACAATTGCATAAATAAATCTATGAGATGTTTTTTTTTAATTCAATATTTTATATCCAATATCTAATTTTAACGTTCTAATTAAAGGGTACTTTAAATGTGAAACTAAAACCGCCATTAGGTGGCGGCGAGTCACTGTCTTAATAAGTGAGTTGAGTGAGTCATTCATTCAACCGATTTGTTCATTGAATCATTAAATCGATTTGTTCAAAACGCGGATTTCAAAATCATCGCTGTCTGTTGCATTGAGACTGCTACGGTTTCATTTTGAAATTCCCGTCGGTGAAATAAAGGGAAAACAAACAATATTGACAATATTGTTTATAAAATGTAACTCACAATGTTAATTGTTCATTTATAAAATAAATATCACATATGCAATTGTGCACGGGAAAACGGCACTCTTACTGATGTGATATTGTATGATAACAACATAATATGATATAAATATGAGACAAAAACTAATTTGGGAACATACCTATAACTGCACACATTACGCAGAGACAAAAGCGATGTCAGCTCACAGTGCCTCGTACATCGTTAAAACAATGAGACAATACACATCGTACACCACTACGCACATAAAGAGTTTCGCGTGCAGGAGACAGACGTAATGCTGCCGCGAATGTGACGCGATCTCCAATCTCTGTTGTGTGTTTGCATGCTTCAATGAAGGCAGCATGTTAATACAGAATGTGATTAAACTGACTAGAACAACCTGTGCATTACATGGTTTGAATGCACACTTTCCTGCCAAAAAGTATTGAGTATTTAGCAAGACTGTGGTATAATAACTGATACAACTGTAGAGTGTGATGTCAAAACGGTCTTAGAGGAACAGCAGCTCACGCATTCTTACCGTCAGATGCAGTGCAGCGGGCCGCCAGCTCCCACAGCACCAGCCCGACCGCATACATGTCTATCCTGAGGAAAGAGTCTCGCTGGAAGTTGATGGCCCCCTCCAACACCTCCGGGGCCATGTAACGCCTGGTTCCCACCTGAAGCGCACAGAGAGACCACCTTCTGATTAGTACAACAGTAAAAACGGTACATGTAAATGCATACAGTCTCCCTTAATGAGTACAGCGTAAGGGAATTATGCAGCTGCCAGAGCAAATTTTGTATTAAAGTATATGAGAATGTTTTAATGACCTAGATGCTTAAACAGACCTATAATAAAAAAATTCGGTTTACAAAAAAGTCCTTCTACAATCTTTCTGCCAGCACTGCAGTCAATTCAGTCATGGTTTCAAAATGGATGGTCCAGACAGCCTAATAAACACTACTAGTGAATATCTTAAGTTTGTACGTCTTGTAGAACACAATAGGACAAGAAAGTTTTTTTTTTTTTAATTGGATTACTTTTTTTATTTTATTCAATTACTGAATGTTTACCAGAATACTTCAGACTGCTCTTAAAAAGCTGAAAAACCTCAACTAATTAATTAATTTGTATCCATTTTCTATTGTTTTTAAATGTTCTATTTGTTCATTTTATTACCACCTGTTTACTTGAATAATTTCTTGGAAAAACTTCAAGATGTGTTTACTTCATCGAGAAACACCCCTGCTAAATGCCATAGTTATAATTGAATTTGTTATCATTTATATTAACATTTAGATTATAATTTAACTTTTTACATAAAAGAGTGTTCAATTGCATATGTTTTTATTGTGGTATTGATAATGAAATTTCACTGCTCATTCGATATCGACCACTGACATTTTGGTCTATTCTGTCTATTATGTGGACAGCTGAGATGCAGCCTCTGATACACCTCCACAGAATCATATTCATATTTAAACACACTTCACAGAGCCAACCCTCGCACGAAGGGCGGCACTTCAATCAGCACCGGCTCCAACACTTACCTGCCCATGCGTGTCCCCAGCTGACTTCCCTGCCTCAAACTTCAGAGCCAGACCAAAATCAGCTATACAAGCCGTCAGGTTTGTCTTCAGCAGAATGTTCTTGCTCTTAATATCCCTGTGCATGTATAATACAAGTTTAAATATGTAAAAATTGCTTAAATTGATCACAAACAAAGATATTTTTATTACTGCTTCAGCAGTTTGTGTCTATACAATGAAAGTCAATGGGGTCCAAAACAACACTGGACCGCATTGACTTCCACTGTATGGACAAGAAAACAAGAGACTCATTTAAAAAATATATTTTGTGCAAGTCATACAGGTTTGAAACAACATGGGAGACAAGATTTAGACCAAATGTCCACCTTTCAATATATCTAAGAACCACAATGGGTTTTTAGATCGTTCTGTCAGGTCCATTAAGTCAAGAACACACATGACAATAAATGATTAGGAAATTGTATTGAATAAATTGCAATTCAAGTTGATAATTAAAATTTGGCGGTATGGCTCTGTTCAGGGAGTCCTCTGACCTTTCATGAGCACCATGAAATAGCAGAGAGTCAGAGGACAGCAGCAGCATTAGGGAACGCTCACAGTTTAGTACTGGGAGAGCAAAACTATTCCCCCATATGAACAGAGCAGCAACGATGACAGAAAAGCAAATGCCACGTTATACACGACAAGGAGGAGCTGGGGAGGAGGTGGGTTGCAGAGAGCGAGCAGCAAGCAGTTAGGAGCGAACTGAATCTGCTTAAATAGGGCGCCCTGATTTGAGGGTAGTCATTAGAAGCGAGGGGAGATGAACAGCAGATGCGCTGATGCAGCTCAGCTGAGCAGATCGCTGATGAAACCGTGTTGTCGGCCGATGGCGTTAGCAGCATCTTGACTACTTGGCCTGCCAGAACTGATGCTGACGCTCAATTTGTATATTTCTAACCTGTGTGCGATGGCCGGTTTGTGGCCATCTCTGTGTCCTGGGAAGTCAGAGTGCAAGTAAGCCAGTCCTCGAGCCATGGTCTGAGCGATGAGACACAGCTCGTTCCACGTCACCACGTTTGCCTTCAGGTAGTCTGTCAGGGAGCCCTGCACACAGACAGCAGAGACGCTTGGATCAATCATGGCTGTGCTTCAGCCTGCAGTATAAACAACTAAAACCGTTTAACTCGCAATAAAAAGTATAAAATCAGCAATAACACAAAGACTTGACTGCTGATAAAGTAACTCACTTTGAGCACTATTGTAGCACATATTGACTTGATTGAAAAATATTTAATCATCTTTTTATGAAAATGATTTCTTTTGTATAATTGGATCCTACAGGGTATCAACATGACATGTAAACGTTTCTTTTGTAATGAATCTTTTGTCACTTCATTCGTTCTGCCCCTTAAGACCTTCATAACAAAATGTTTTATAGACAGCAAATTTACTACATCAATGGCGTTCAAAAAATAGCCATCCAATGTGATGTATTAATTCTCTTTATCAATTATCACTCTTTTTTTGTCATGTTTATTTGAGTGTTCATCTACTGGGATTGATAATTTCAATGAGCAAAACTCAAGCCTGTAGTCTAAAGTTCAAAGTCTTAATCAAATAAATAAAATACTTTAAATTTCATTAGCAACACTGCAAAAAAATAAATAAATAATATAACGTAATCCCTGCTGATAATGATGGCAGAGAGATTAGTAAACTTTGAGAAAGTAAAACATGGATCTAGAAATGTTCCTCCTTTTAAGTGAAAGCCAATGCTGTCCAGCCCCCATTCAGTTCCAGACCTTTTCATGGTAAGCTGTGATGAGCCACAATTCAATGTCCAGGTTGCTTCCTCTCTTCTCGGCCCCGATGAAATGAAGAACGTTTTCATGCCTCATGCCAGGGAGATTGTAAATGTCATACTCATTCTGCCAAGACAGCTTGTCCTGCGAAAGACAATCACAATCAACTCAGATTACTTAAGTAAGCAGTCATTTACCAGAGCAAATTATTAAATGGGAGATTGATAGATGAAACATGATTTCACCAAACACCAAACTCTAAGCTGTAACTCTAAGAGAGAGACAGCTCCTGTTAGGTGTAAGGAATTTTCATTTCATTTCATTTCATTTCAAGAAATACATATTTATCTTTATATAATTTATGTATTGTGATTTAATTAATGTATATTTAACACTTTTCTATTGGAATAAGTTGTACAAATTTAATTTATTCCTGTGAATTTTCAGCAGTCCTTTCTTCAGTGTCACATCCTTCAGAAATCATTCTAATATGCCCAATTTTTCTCAGATTATTTGATGAACAGACATTTCAAATCCGCATTTATTTGAAATAGAAATGCTTTGTAACAATGTAATGTTTGTGTGCTTCACAGGCTGACACATGGCTCAGCTCCACATTTGGCTGTGTAATTGGTTAAGCAGGTTAGATTAACTCATCAGCTTTAGAAGCTGATTCCCTGGCCTTGGGTCCACGTGGTACCTGAATGGGGAATATCTTCACTGCCACATAGTCATTAAGCAGCTGAGCCTTCCACACACAGCCAAAGCGCCCTCTAGCTTTGATTTCCAACAACTGCAGTGGCTTCTGAACCAGGGTGGGAGACGGCGGCATGGGTCCAGGGTCCTATAAAGACAACAAATAAGGAAGTGTAAGCTATAGGGTTGGTTAAACAGACCATCTGTAGGTGTGATAACTGCTGTAGACTTCATCACTATGGTGACCATCCTCAAACAGCATGTTTCACAGCGACTGATTAGACTGACATCATTAACCACCAAGGTCATTTCAATAAGATGTATGTACAGGGAAGGGCCATTCAAAATGACCTTTACAGATGGACACTGTCCGGAATTCAAACCCTGAAATTAACCCATGACTCTTATCTAAAACATCATCTACGTTTTGTTGATTACTGGTTCCACAGGGGAATTGTGATCCCCACTTTAAAGGAGTTCAGGGTCGGTTCATGCTAGATTTTATTTTCAATTTTATGTACATGCAAACGCAAGAGAATGGGTACACAAGCACATGCAAATAATTTGTCTTCACTAAACCCTGACCTGTGAATTGGCATAGATAAAATCTGTTTGACAAATATAGGACCAAAACTTCCAGATTGAATTCTTGGATTAAAATCAAGCATGGAGGAAACTCTCATTTTGGTAGTTTCAGGTCATGTTTTACATACATTACCATCCGAACGTTTGGGGTCGGTTATATTTTTAAAAATGTTTTAGAAAGTAGTCTCTTATGCACATCAAAACTCAAATTCTTTATACATATTGTAAAAAATAGGTAATATTTTGAAAATGTTTTAAAATACAATTCATTCCTCTTATGGTAAAAGCTAAACCTTTGATCAATTTACTGTGTCCTTCCTGAATAAAAGTATTACTTTATTTCAAAAATAGATACAATCTTACTAACCCTGAACCTTTTAATGTTTGTGTAAGAGAACTGAAGAACACAAGCTACAGTTCAGAAGAGAAACATGAATTTATAGTTCTAAAGCCAGTAATCACCAATACATTTTTAATCGAATCGTGACCCCAAGAATTTTTTATCGAATTGTGAGATTCCAAAAGATTCCCAGCCCAACTATTGTGCCAGATACCTTATATGAAATAACACATGAAAATAATACTAGCTGACTGTGGTGATGTGGTGGGGTAAAGGTGGACCCATGTCATGCAGCTGAGCTGCATAAAGCTTTGACGGAAGGGGCTTATGGGAGTTGAAGTTCAGAGCTTGTTAAACATAATCCACAGCTTCTGTAAGTGGACCACAGATGTGATAATCAGCTGACCTAGTTTGTGGGTGCTGTGAAATGCACTGGCATGCCATTACACCTAGAAGGATAGAACCTTTCTGAATATGCCTTATGCAGGCAGAGACCATTTAGCAGTTCATCTAAATGCATGAGTGTGCGCTGTCTACACCCGACATGACCTTTTCTGACCAATTATCCTTTGTCAGCAAAACACAATAGGCTGTTTCCCGCTTATCAAATAAACTAATCCCAGTTATTCAAGTGAATCAGTGTAGGAAAGCAATATAGATGGCATCTGTAGGCACGAACCCAAACCCTGCCGCTGTGCTGGCTGAGCCTGCCATACTGCTCACCTAATTCTCAACAAATTTCACACTGAAAATAAGTAAATAAAATATTTAGCTAAATATACATATAAAGACAATACATTTAAAAACAATAACAAAACATAACTGATTAAATAATATAAATTTTCACTGACATAAATATAATTTTACTGTAAGATATACATATATATAAAAGTGTATATCTTTTTTTTTTTTAGCAATGATTATTGTCGCAATAACTTAATATCGCAATGCAAACATAGCCTACAGCCTCAATTTTCTTTAAGCAAATATAAGCTAAATTTAATTTTGTATTTTTTTTTTTAATACTAGGAATAAAAATGACCCAGGTACATTCTTTACAGGTCATCAGAACAACCTACTTCTCAGTAGCCACTTTTCCACTGTCTGGCGAGTGCGAGCCAGGGCTTTCAACGGGCCGGGCTGGGCTAATAGCTAGTAGCACCAAGCCCAAAACCACGCTGCGTTTCTACCGTCAGCTCCGCAGCGCTTCACTAAAACCCGCCCATAACACGCCTCTCTGGAAGAACGTCACACACACCCATCATTTCACCAACAAATGGACGTTTTATCAGAAAACTAATCAGAAAGAAATCACTGGAAACTAGCGAGATTGCAAAACGAACATGATAAAAGCGACCGTTTGTTGGCATTTTTGTTTACTTAAAGATTTAAAACCAAGCATCGATGTTTTACCACAGTTTTACAATAATAAGTGATACATTGACCATAAGGAATTAATTTGCCAAGATTGCACATTAGTCACAAAGAAATAAAGTGGTATTTACCGTTATCACAAAAGAAAGAGGACACACGTACTTAGTCGCGTCTCTTTCTGTTTATTTGTAGTCACAGGACAGTATGTTTACATCACATTCAGAAAGAATGATAATTTCTACAAATTTTCCACCAAAAATATGACCTGAGGAGCTTTAGCACTCTCTCCAGTGACAGTCGCAATACAGTTATATTTTCAGTCAGAGAAACAGAGGAATCTCCTGAAAAAAAGGAGTTGCTTTATGTTATGACATATATGGAGCTAAATATGGATCAGAGAGTCCGGTATAAAGAGACGAGACGTACTGACAGATAAAAAAAAATACACGATTGTGATAGCCTATATGATATGTCTTGATTTCTTCAAGCGGTTGTATTTACCATGTTTACAAAGGTAATTGTTAGTGTGCATAGTCTTTTGCATTGCATCTAAATATTTCTGCCTTATACGGTGATCAGAATCCACATCGGATCACAAACAGAAGTTATTTCAAACACTCGCTGCTGTCTGAAAGTGAGTTTTGAGCTAAAATGATTTTAAAAGTCTTTAACGCTGATGTTAGCTGGTATATGAAATCATCTGCGGCACTGCCGTCTCCTGACTCAGGCAAACTCGCCCCTGTTCATGACCCCTCCTCAAGCCCGAACTGGCCCGCTTTGGACCAAGGTATTCAGCGGGCCAAAAAACCCTGACCATTGGCCCCGACGAGGGCCGATCAAGCTCCAGAAGTGACAGTGGCCCGTCAGTGGAAACATGGCTAGTGTTAGTCTTAAGTGGTTGAAGGGAAAAAACCCAGCTTTATTTGGCCTCCCTTAGAAACAAATCACATTTCAGCAGGTGCTCTGTGGACAGCCTTTCTTCATCCTACCTACTTATTGAGTATTTGTTTCTAAGGGAGGCCAAATAAAGCTGTTTTTTTTCCCTTCAACCACTTAAGACTAACCCTGACCATTGGCCCCGACGAGGGCCGATCAAGCTCCAGAAGTGACAGTGGCCCGTCAGTGGAAACATGGCTAGTGTTAGTCTTAAGTGGTTGAAGGGAAAAAAAAACAGCTTTATTTGGCCTCCCTTAGAAACAAATACTCAATAAGTAGGTAGGATGAAGAAAGGCTGTCCACAGAGCACCTGCTGAAATGTGATTTGGAGTTCAGGCAAAAGTAGGACAAATGGAGAACAGGCATGTTTTTGGCACCGATTGTTCTGAACCGAGACTCCTTAGCATATGGATCTGGGTTGTTAACTAACTTTTTTCCAAGTCCTCAAGGAAACAAATGCCGAAGAAAAGTACATCACATGACTGTGGGTGGGAGGAGACTAGGTTAAAGAACAGAACATCCATCATGCAGAGAAGAAAACAAAAAACTGTCAGGACGCAGGCGAGAAAGCGAATACTTCTGAGATGGCAATGCTTTGCTTTTACACAAAACGAGAGAGCTGACAAGTAATGAGGGAGGATGGAGGTAAGGGAGGGACTGAGCTCCTGAGGGGGACGCAACCCTCACCCTGACCTCACACACTTACACCCACACAGGTCAGGGTCATGTTTACTTTTCCATTTGCCCAAACGTCAGTCACTAAACAGACACCACTCATAAACATGATGACAATAAGTCTTATGGGAAGTGTCTGCCCCTGGGGCAGCAGACGTGGATGGAGGCAAAGGCTGACATTTTTAATGCATTCCTTTTCCAAAATAGAGTAAAAGAAAGAACAACACAGGTAATTTAAGAGGGCTATCCATCTACCCAGATGCCTGTGGCAGATATAGTATTTCAGTGAGCAGGTTACTGGAGTTGTTTGTGTTGTTCAAAGTCTGAAAATAAAGAGACCAGTGGAAAAAGCCCAACGGACATTTGTTGAACGGGTGAAGCATTCATACATGTATTAAGTCTCATAGTGACCACAGATGTCCCTAATTCTTATATCTTAAGCACCCTATACTTTGCACAACTGGTTTTAAAAAAGATAACTTAAGCAATACGTTTTTAGATATATTTCTTTCTCATTTGCTTTCTTATTTTATACACATACATTCTGTAAAAATTCGATCAGTCAGTTTGTTTTTGCATTCAGCCCACAAGGACAGCACACAGAAACACTTGCCTTCATTATTTTGTGGTACATCACATTCTCATCACATTCAATTCAGATGTATTAGCTGATTGAAACATTTTTTTTTTTGATTGTTACATTTTTGTCGATGCATGTCTGAATAGTTTTAATAGATTAAATTAATCTGATGCAAATAATGTTTTTATTGCACTCAAAGCTTTAAGCATTGTTATTAAGTCTACTGTAAATTTTCTGTGTGGTAAAAATAATTGGATTTCTATAACAAAAAAAGCCTCCCCATAAGGTCCATGACTGTTTACCAAGACTACACTTTTTGAAGAAAGCAAGTGCATTTGGGGGCTTTTGATCTCTTGTGAATTATTTACATACAGTTGTTCATTTGGAAGACCAAAGCAATACACAGCGGTTTGCTGTAACAAATGGAAGCGTAAGCAGCACATACTGTATACAATGTAATTCAAAGCAAAATCCTTACAGAACTAAATAGACATCTAAGTGCCAGAGTGCATCTTATCAGCTCTGACACAAGGATGGATAAAAGCATCAATGTGATGTTTTGTAATAAATCTTCAGAATGGATTAAATCTGTGCAGCAACTGAGCAACAATTTTTGGCTCCACACACACTGAATGACTAGGCCTAGTTCTTTACTTGTTCTTGGACTGCCCAACATTGCTGTTTAACCACCTTCTGGGAATACAAAGTGATTAAAAAAGTTTTAAAAGGGCAATATCTTATATTTTTGCAGCATTTTATTCCCCCCCTGAGGCCCACTTATAATGTTAATCAATGTTTCCTGGACCAAAATTTAAATATTCTGGTCATATTCAGTTTTCATACCATTTTAAACTTTCTGGCCCTAGGAATAAAACAGACTGCTTTTGCCGTTAGGGTGACATAGAAAATGATAAATATAATCTAAAAAAACATAATATAATCTATTTAATCTACACTCACCGGCCACTTAATTAGGTACCCCATGCTAGTAACGGGTTGGACCCCCTTTTGCCTTCAGAACTGCCTCAATTCTTCGTGGCATAGATTCAACAAGGTGCTGGAAGCATTCCTCAGGGAGTTTGGTCCATATTGACATGATGGCATCACACAGTTGCCGCAGATTTGTCGGCTGCACATCCATGATGCGAATCTCCCGTTCCACCACATCCCAAAGATGCTCTATTGGGTTGAGATCTGGTGACTGTGGAGGCCATTTTAGTACAGTGAACTCATTGTCATGTTCAAGAAACCAATTTGAAATGATTAGAGCTTTGTGACATGGTGGAAGTAGCCATCAGAGGATGGGTACATGGTGGCCATAAAGGGATGGACATGGTCAGAAACAATGCTCAGGTAGGCCGTGGCATTTAAACGATGCCCAATTGGCACTAAGGGGCCTAAAGTGTGCCAGGAAAACATCCCCCACACCATTACACCACCACCACCAGCCTGCACAGTGGTAACAAGGCATGATGGTTCCATGTTCTCATTCTGTTTACGCCAAATTCTGACTCTAACATCTGAATGTCTCAACAGAAATCGAGACTCATCAGACCAGGCAACATTTTTCCAGTCCTCAACTGGTCAATTTTGGTGAGCTCTTGCAAATTGTAGCCTCTTTTTCCTATTTGTAGTGGAGATGAGTGGTACCCGGTGGAGTCTTCTGCTGTTGTAGCCCATCCGCCTCAAGGTTGTGCGTGTTGTGGCTTCACAAATGCTTTGCTGCATACCTCGGTTGTAACGAGTGGTTATTTCAGTCACTGTTGCCCTTCTATCAGCTCGAACCAGTCTGGCCATTCTCCTCTGACCTCTGGCATCAACAAGGCATTTCCGCCCACAGAACTGCCGCTCACTGGATGTTTTTTCTTTTTCGGACCATTCTCTGTAAACCCTAGAGATGGTTGTGCGTGAAAATCCCAGTAGATTAGCAGTTTCTGAAATACTCAGACCAGCCCTTCTGGCACCAACAATCATGCCACGTTCAAAGTCACTCAAATCAACTTTCTTCCCCATACTGATGCTCGGTTTGAACTGCAGGAGATTGTCTTGACCATGTCTACATGCCTAAATGCACTGAGTTGCCGCCATGTGATTGGCTGCTTAGAAATTAAGTGTTAACGAGCAGTTGGACAGGTGTACCTAATAAAGTGCCGGTGAGTGTATATAATCACTATACTGCTGCATTTCTTGCTGGGAGGGGGAAAAAAAATCCAGTTTTACATAACATGACCCTTATAAAACTAGCAAGGCATTTTTAATATTTTGCCGTTTAGGATTTATTTAGCTCATGGACGAACATCTGTCATGAAGCACATTCATACAAAAGTAAATAAAGCTCAGGACTCATTAGGGAATAATCTTGGTTCATTCCAGTTTTTAAGAGTTTTGCCTCTCTGGCAAAAACTACCACACAGATTGGCAAACGAGTGTTGCACAGGGCCACAGCTTCATATCCATTAAACAACAGATTTTTCATGTGCAATTTGTGTGCTGAAAGAGAGAATGTCCAAGGAGTGACGCTGATGCAACATGACAGTTTGCTATGAATCTTTCAATATGACTGCAAATGTTTCATATGTTAAGTACAATAAAAACACTTTAAGCTGTTCCCCATTCCCACATTCATAACATTCATCTTTGCATACATTTGCTGCATGCTTGGAGACGTGCATTCATCAATCTCAGTATTGCCGTTTTACCATGCACCTAAATCAAGGGATCTCTGCCTGAATCCCCTGAATCAGAGGGGATTTCGTTTTTGTTATCCGTGCACTGAAATTCAGGACATCACAGATTGATGAGGCAATGTGCAGGGATAAACGCAAAATAAAACCAGTGGGATATTATAGGAAAATGTGCTAACGAAAACAAAGGGGTGCTTTTGATAGCAATGAAAAAAAGGTTTAAAATGAGGTTCCAACATAACCTTGAAAAAAAAAGATGAATGAATCAGGCTTCTCTTACCTCTATCATTATATGAAAGGCGTGCTAGTTGAGGAAGGAAAGAGGAAATCAAGCGTTAGTTTTAGTTTAACGTATATGAGATGGGGAATTTCAGGGTTTCTGGAAGAACGAGTAAATCTGTTTCACTATTTCAGTAGGAACTTTTACTTGCAGGCCAACACAACATATTTCTACAGGTTAACCCAATTTTGTCTGTCCAAAATATTTTAGATTTATGTCAAGCCAAAAGATAGGAATAGGATTTTATTATAGTCTAAAATTCATAAAAATGAGTTGTTTTTTTTAAAATACTTTCTTCTTTCTTTTGCTACTTTAATGTGCAGAAACTAAAAGTAAGCTATTCAGAGGTTGAATTGTCCGAAAACGGGCCAACAAAGCTACACTGACTGAACCAATGTCTTATGTTTGGGATGGGACAATCTGTTTGTCCAACCAATGATTTTGGGATTTTGTATTTTTGCAATTCTGTTTGATGCAGCTTGTGCTGCAAAAAGCACATATTTCATCTTTAAGATGAAAAAGAAATATACTGGTTCAGGCGAGGGCCTCAAGTAGATATTCTGATTAAAAATCTTGCCTTATGTAGAATAATTTCTGGCTTGTGTGCAATTTTAACTTTATATAAGTGAATATAACTGGAAAGAATGAACATTCTGCCCCAAGTACACCACTCAACAGTTGCTGCTTGCACCTGAGGCCAAATCTGCATGTTACAGCAACTGCCAGACTTCCACAAGATACTGAGAGACTTCTCCAAATAAAACGGAAAACTAGGAAAGTTTCAGAATCTCAAAAAAGAAAACACCAAAGATATAGTTTAAAGAAAATGGGGGATGAATCGTTGTTCAGTGAGTACAACATATCTCCCTGCATTCTCATTCAGACTTAATATTGTACCATACTCTTCTCAAAACAACCAACACTTAGCACAAATTTTTGTGCAGGACTTTTTGTGAAACTTAGAAAATTATAGAGAATATGGTGTTTTCAGAGTCATAACGCAACAGCTCCCTATCCATACCAAATAATAATTTTTAAAAAGCTGTATATATATGACAATATAACAATGGCGATTTAGATGAGGACAGAAGTGGCACATGTAAAATATTATTTACTGCCATAAACAACAACAAAATAAGTTTGTAGAACTGAGCATTGTAATGCACAAGAGCTAAAACCTGAATATAAAGAAATGGAACCAAGGCAATGAGTTGCACATGAATGCAGGAGCTGACCTCATGGCTTTAAACACTGCACTATGCGTGCAGTTGCCTGAATCTCCGTTCTTTCCTGAAACAAGAAATTCCCTTCCTCACCATGAAGCCAAGCACTTAATGCGGTTAAAGCACACTGTGCTCTCTCTCTTGAGGGGCATGTTGGGTCTTGGGCCCTTGTAAGAAAACTGTTAAATAAGCGTCTCTCTGCCTTCTAAATGGTACGAGACTCTAAAGTGGAGGCTGGGGGCCAAATGCTTCAAACGAAGAGATTATTTTTAACTACATGCTTTAAAATGGCCTGAGAATTGATGAAGGAATGTTTCAGAGCTATTCAAAACAATGTTGATGACAACTAATAAGGGCATCATAAAATGATTCTCATTTATGTTGATGCATACAGCATGCATTACATCCAATGTAAATGCATACAGCAACCACCATCAGGCTACCATACAAATTTAAAGATGGACCCATTTAAATTTAAATAAAGATTTACAGTGCATTTAGGAGTTTCAGTGTAGATGTTTATAGAGATAATATCAGTGAGTGAATGAACTGACCAAGTTACAGGGAGACAAGAGAGAAGTCTTTAACCAAACATATGTAAATATAAGTAACACAAGATTTGCCTGACTATATATTTAAAACATTGTGAAAGTTAAGCTCAAAGCTTTGTTTAAAACTCTAAAAAGGAGGGATGCTGCGATCGATCGGCTGCAAATCGGTATTGGCTGATAATCACATTCTACGACTCGATTGGTAGTCACTAAATTTGTCCGATCTTACAAACCGACCCCAATTTGAATTTGTAAAACACGCGATGACGTCAAACTTCAGTGCCGCAGTCACCTGTCATGTTGACAGCCTGCAATTGTTCAGTTTTAAAGTCTTGTAGGCTCTTTAATAAGCCAAAGTATCCTAAAATGGATAGTGTTTTGCGTAAGCTCTGTTTTTTAAAGGCCTATTAAAAGGTTCACTGTAAAATAAATATCGAGATCAGTATCGGCCGATCAAGATGACAAGAAATCGGTAGTCGATAGGGATGCACGATGATATCGGGACAACATTGGTATCGGCCGATAAAAGCTTAAAATGACCATTATCGGCACTGGCCGATATGAATATTACTGCCGATGAGCCTTGCCGATAGGGTGGCCTGTTTCCTATCCGCACGTGATGACCGTGAACAAAGCATGAGCGCCAGCAACTTAAACTTCCAACTAGGGGTGTGCGATAATCACGGTTTTTGATCGTGGATGATTAAAATATCTCTCCACGATCTGCTTTTGAAGAAAAATCATAGTGTTGTGCATTCTATCAGTTCAATTCTGGCGCCTTCATCTCAACATACTGTACAATGCGACGCACATTCACATCATCACATCACATGTAAACGCAGAGGTAGAGTTACACTCACGGGACACTGCAATTCACAAAAGTTCATTATTTGCATGTGCGTCAAAGTCTTGCTAGTTGTCATTCACGTGCTGATGCGCTGTTCTAACATCCGCTTTTCTGAGCGCGTTACACCCGACGCTCACAGGAACCAAAAGCCTGTCACAGCGCCTGTATACTGGACTAGTCTTATTGCGCTGATACGGTCAAATACACACAAGGTTTACATAAAGTTGGTTATGTCTAAAGTGAAAGCAAACAGAAAAAATCTGCTTGTCAAATGCGTGTATATTAGACGCGTCGCGTGCAGTTCTTAAAGAGACAGTAATAATATGCTGCCGCTTGTCCTTAAAGAGATACTGCACCCAGAAATAAAAAATCTGTCATTATTTACTCACTCTAATGTTGTTCCAAACCGGTATTCATTTCTTTCTTGTGCTTAAATATACTATGGAAGTCACTGGAGTACAGCAACTGTTTGGTTAGCCACATTCTTCCAAATAACTTTTATTTTCAACAGATTTTCAAAGAAACTTGAGAGAGTAAATGATGACAATTAACATTTTTGGGAGAACTATTCCTTTAATGTTAATAAAACAACAAAACACAGAGGAAATCACTCACTGCTCTTGACTGAGAACATTAATAGAAGCTTTAATAAGGTTTTTTTGCACTTAAAAAAAAAATACAAATATATCGGTATCGGGCAAAATAAGTTTGAAAATATCGGCCAAAATCCAATATCGTGCATCCCTAGTAGTCGATATCAGTATCGACAGCAAAAATTTTAATCGGTGCATCCCAACTAGAAAGTAGGGATGCACGATGATATCGGGACAACATCGGTATCGGCCGATAAAAGCTTAAAATGACCATCATCGGCATTGGCCGATATGAATATTTCTGCCGATGAGCCTTGCCGATAGGGTGGCGTGTTTCCTATGCGCACGTGACGACCGTGAACGAAGCATGAGCGCCAGCAACTTAAACTTCCAACTAGGGGTGTGCGTCTCACGGTTTTTGATCGTGGACGATTAAAATGTCTCCACGATCTGCTTTTGAAGAAAAATCATAGTATCGTGCATTCTATCAGTTCAATTCCGGCGCCTTCATCTCAACATACTGTACAACGCGACGTACATTCACATCACATCACATGTAAACGCAGAGGTAGAGTTACACTCACGGGACACTGCAATTCACAAAAGTTCATTGTTTGCATGTGCGTCAAAGTCTTGCTAGTTAAACATGTCATTCACGTGCTGATGCGCTGTTCTAACATCCGCTTTTCTGAGCGCGTTACACCTGACGCTCACAGGAACTAAAAGCCTGTCACAGAGTCTGCATACTGGACTAATCTTTCGAGTCTTATTGTGCTGATACTGTCAAATACACACAAGGTTTACATAAACAAAGTTGGTTATGTCTAAAGTGAAAGCAAACAGAGAAAATCTGCTTGTCAAATGCGTGTATATTAGACGCGTCGCGTGCAGTTCTTAAAGAGACAGTAAAAATATTCTGCCGCTTGTCTTTAAAGAGATACTGCACCCAGAAATAAAAATTCTGTCATTATTTACTCACTCTAATGTTGTTTCAAACCTGGATTCATTTCTTTCTTGTGCTTAAATATACTATGGAAGTCACTGAAGTACAGCAACTGTTTGGTTAGCCACATTCTTCCAAATAACTTTTATAATTTCAACAGAAGAAAGAAACTTGAGAGAGTAAATGATGACAATTTAAATTTTTGGGAGAACTATCCCGTTAATGTTAATAAAACAACAAAACACAAAGAGGAAATCACTCACTGCTCTTGACTGAGAACATTAATAAGAAGCTTTAATAAGCTTTTTTTGCACTTACAATGGTCAAAAATACATATATATCGGTATCGGCATCGGGCAAAATTAGTTTGAAAATATCGGCATATCGAATATCGGCCAAAATCCTATATCGTGCATCCCTACTAGAAAGGGAGGTTGTAGCAGCAATATACAAAATACAATGCACAATGTTATTTATCAACAGAAACTGAGCAAGGTAATGTAAGGTAATGATTTCATCACTGAAAATAAATATAACTTTAAAGCCTTTTTCTGCACTCACTTTTCATTACAAACAGTGACAGCGTTGAGGCTTTAGACACAATTCTGGAGGAAATGATCAATCAAAACAAAAATTAAATTAATATACTACCATTCAAAAATGTGGAGTAAGATTTATTTACTCACAAAGGCTGCATTTATTTCATCAAACATAAGTTAAAATTTAAATATTGTGAAATAATATTTCAAAATAAAATACCTGTTATCTATTTTAATTTAGTTTAAAAAGTAATTTATTCCTTTGATTGATCAACATTTTATTAAATGTTGTGGGCCGAACCCCGCCCACAACATTTGAGGATGGGAAGTTCGGTCTGGACTTGATCCGTTGAGAAGCAAGTATGCCCAAACCAGAGCTGTTTGGACCAATCAAATTGTCAGGGCGGGCTTTATACGATGATGGACAGCTGATCACCAGTAACGTAATCATCCACGTCACCAAAGAGCGCTTGGGTTGAATTCGTTTATAACAAAGAATGGCTGCCGCTGGAGAATTGAGATGTGTAGATTCAGCCATCGCATCTGTTATAGAAGATGTAGACAGCGCATTAATTTTAAAAGAGGAACAGAGAACCGCGATCAAGGCATTTGTAGACCGGAAATATGTTTTTGCCGTCCTTCCTACGGGATTCGGTCTATCCAATTGAGTGCAGAGGCATTTTTTTCCTGGTTCGGTTGAAACACGCCCCATAATCACAGCCCAATGGGGCAGAATCAGACTCACATTCTGACTAGAATCTGAGTATGACGACGTCAGGCAACAGTGTCACATGAATTCTTCAGAAATCATAAGCTCAATACTTTCAGGTTTTGTTCATGAATAGAATGTTTAAAAGAACAGCATTTATTTAAAATAGAAATCCTTTGTAACAATGTAAAATGTTTAATGTGTCCTTTCTTTAAACAAAAAAAATATATTACTGACCCTAAACCTTTAAACGGAAGTGTAAATAAATAAATACGCAATAAAACTTTCTTCGCCTCCAAAACGATTTTCTTTTTCAGCTGACATCACCAAGCCTTATTTTCAAACACATTCCCAACCACCTGTCATATACAGACTGCTTTTCACAATCCAATTAAGAATTAAATTCCAACAATTTTAGTAGTTACAGAAAGGTTACGTTAAGAATATACCATTATGGAAGTTGCAAACACAGTTTTATATTGACTAAGTGTTGTAATAGTCCCCGAAGACTTCTGCCTGCTGCATTAAGAACTAATAAAGCTTCCAACAAATCAAAAACAAGTTTGGGCTGATTATGATATTTGATATCAGCAGTACTGTGGGGATGGTTTATCTGTCAGATCTGACCTACATAACACTGAAACTCAATCGGGGAATTCCAAATGCTCACCTGACTCAAAGGTAACCCTTTGTGCTACCATACGGTCCCATATATCATCCCAGCACACGCTTGTAAATGCATCTATTCTGACCTGCCAAAGATGTCCTACAAGTGAGGATTTTTTCCCCACGGGCCCAGTAGTGCAGATTTTCACTTCACTGAATCTATAAAGCTCCATTGTGTAGTTCAGAAGTAGATGTGAATCTTAACACTAGTCACACACAGGGGGTAAAGGTCACCTGATTGCTCATGTCTTGTGTTATGTCATTTTTGTTTATTGTAAGAGAAGAGGGCATCGAAACACAACAGTGTCCTGACAAATCTCGTTTGATTTCAGCTGACAGTGAGTTTGAGCTTGAGCTAGTGTGACATTGAGCACATTAGATCCCTGAATTCACTGTCATTCACATCAACAGGAGGTTCTGCCCAGGGGAAATAACAGCTCCCCAAAGCACAGTTTCTAGTGATATGAAGATGTCCTGATACACCGAAACTCTCACACACACACACACACACACACACTGAAATGAGACTTTTATTCTCATTTTACTAAAAGTGAATAAAAATACATGCATTATATACGAAAAGTATCAGGTTACCTGGGTAGGCACCAGAACAGGTGGATACGCCAGCTTGTGATGCCGATACATCCAGAAGGACAGCAGGACAATGGCAGCGATGCCCATGATGGGCACGATGGAGTACAGGAGGGTGCTGAACAGTGGTGGCTTTTGGGTGAAGGGGTTGGATGTTGCTGGGGAGATAAAAATAACGAGAGACATCAGTACCAATCAATACTTTTTATGTACTTTTAATGTACTCTACCATTCAAAAGTTTGGGGTCTGTAATTTAAAAAACAATGTTTTTCAAAGAAGTCTCTTATGCTCACCAAGACTGCATTTATTTGATCTAAAAACAGTAAAAACAGTATTAGAGTTTAAAATAATCATTTTCTATTTTATTACATTTTAAAATGTAATTAATTCCTGAGATGGCAAAGCTGAATCCGCAGCCGTTACTCCAGTCTTCAGTGTCACATGATCCTTTAGAAATCATTCTAATATGCTGATTTGGTGCTCAAGAAACATTTCTTATTATCAATGTTGAAAACAGTAGTGCAGCTTATTATTTTTACAGATGACCATGATACAAACAAAAAAAAATTCAGGATTCTTTGATGAATAAAAAGTCAAAAGAGGTTCAAAAGTCTTTACTGTCACCTTTGATCAATTTAATCCTTGTCCTTGCTGAAAAAGTATACATAGAAAAATAAATAAAACAAATATGACCTTACTGACCACAAACTTTTGAACAATAGTGTAATCTGTGACCAAAATATTACTAATTAGGAAATGACTATTCACACATTCTGTCATGAGCTCCATTTACTTTAGTCCTTTAGCAGACGTTTTAGCCATTGTGACTTACAAAATCAATCACAAAATTACAAAAATAATAAAAAATATGAAACATAAAAAATTCTCAAGACCCCTGTGTTTGATTCAATGTGCTTGTGTAAAGGCCTCCTTACATACAAATATGGTTACACTTTATTTTAAGGTGACCTTGTTACAGTGTAATTAAACATTTCATTACTGATGAATATTAATTAACAACATATACTTAATATAGGGTTAGGGTTAGGATTATGTTTGGTTTAGGGTTAGATGCATTTGGTTATGCAAAAATTACAGTTATTATTGCTATATAAACTACATGTAGCAATAATAACTGTAATTATTATTATAATAATAAAATATTATTATTATTATTATAAAATGTATAATAATTATTATAAATCATTATTATAATTAATTATTATAAAAAAACAATTATTATTGTTTTACAGTGTATAACAAGGACACTGTAAAATAAAGTGTGACCACTAGGGATGCTCCAATCAGGATTTTTGCAGCCGATACCGATTACTGATCTTTTTGTCATCATGATCGACCGATACAGATCCCAATCATTTAAGCTTTATATAAGTAATAATTAAAGGTGCAGTGTGTAGATTTTAGCAGCATCTAGCGGTTCGGTTGCGAGTTGCACTAAGGGCTCAGCCCACTGCTCACCCCTCCCTTTCGAAGAAGCTCCTGTCGCTAAAACGGGACAAACATATCGTCGTCTGAGACAGCAGAGAAAAGCCAGAGTAAGCCAAGAGTGTGTAACATTGTCACTGTTTCTGTACCACAGTCCATTATAAACCACATCATGGGTAAAGTTTACAAAGCCATAGTGAGGTGAGGATCAAGCGTCTTAATATAATAATATAATAATAGTAATCAGCTGATTGTCTCACGAACGTAACCAGCACATTTCTCCCCACATAGCAAACCCATAATACAGTGAGGGAGAAGAACCACATGAAACTATGCAACTATATATTTTTTCTAACAGGGTAGTAAAAGTTTAGCTGGCTAATATGAGCTGTTATTCTGTAGGGCTGTGGCTGAGCTGGTTAAAGCGTAAAGCATTGTTTATACTCGACGCGTCCGCATGAGCCCAAAGGTGCGCGCGGCAAAAATGACGTGATTGTAACAGCACACGCGCCTCCGCATCCCCTAGACACCATTTACTACACACAAATTAATAAATAATAATGAATAAAAATATTGTTTTTTTTTCTCTGGTTTTGAAAACTCGTCGCGATCGACTTAAAATGCTTCCAAGATCGACTTGTCGACCGCGATCGACGGGTTGGTGACTCCTGTAACGTTACTGTTTTACGGTCAATAGTACTAATCAGCTGATTGTCAAAGCCATAACACAGCGAGGGAGAAGAACTAAGTTACATGAAACAATCCAACTACATATTTTACACCACTGACAAGGGAAAAGTCACTACTCATGGTGTCTATGGCTAGCTTCTAGCTTTCTGCGGCTTCTCTTTCAAGGTATGAACGAAACGCGCTCTGTAGCGCTGTTTGTTCGCTGCCGGCTACGGTAGAATGACGTCACAATTAGGGGTGTGCCGGTTTCAGAATTGGTGATGACTGTTATGACGCGAGTCAAATGTGACGGTTCGTAACATAACCGTCGTCGTGGTTTTGATACATTTCCATTAAATGTATCACACAGTAAACAAATCCTTAAGAAACAAACAAACGTTGCAATGAACGTGCTTTGTTTAAAATAAATCACACACAGTAAACAAAACCTTAACGAAAAAACTTTGGAATGAACTTTGCAATTTAGACGCGTAAACTGCGTGCCGGTGCGGTGAGACGTGCATGCTCGGGCAGATTCGGCTTGAAGTCGGTCATCCTCGGACGCGGCGCCGCGCGCGCTGTTACAAAAAAAGCCGTGCACACAGCCAAGCCAAATGGGGTCTTGCCGGTCTTGCGCACCGAACGCGTCATTTTTGCCGCGCTCACCTTCGCGCTCGTGCGGACGCGTCGAGTTTAAACAAGGCTTTACTCCGTGTCAGCGCGCGCTCTGATCGGTAAAGTACAGACAGACCTCTCCCGAATCATCTCCAGCAGTAGCAGCCTCCGTTTCCCTCTTAAGCTGATATTAGTATTTAAACATACTCTATGATAAAAAATGTTTGTAAAAAATATTTTAATAGCACGGTTTTGGCGGTTATAGAGTTCTAATGACGGTGTTCAACTATAACCGTCGGTCTCACGGTTATATAATAACCGTCACACCCCTAGTCACAATATGTCGACCTTCATAGAAGGGGGTGCCCGCGGTTATGTAGATATAAATGTCTCATTCTAAGGTGATAAAAACATAACGGTTCATTGAGTAAGGTCTTTATACACCACCGAATACATAGTTATGGATCTTATATTGCATTTCTGTCAATAGATCCACAGAAATATTACACATTGCACCTTTAAGCTCTCTGCTGAATGTCAGTGTTTTTTTCCAAATAAGTAATACCACAGACATTATTTACAGCAATGCTATAGATTTTTGTATTAACTGAAAATAAAATAAATAAGCACAACAAATATTAATTTTACAATGAGCATTTTAATAGGCCATTAATAAAAACAGGGCTTATGCAAAACACTATCCAAATGAGGATGCTCATTAAAGAGCCAACAAGACTTCATGTCAAACTGAACATAATTACAACCCATAAAGTGTAATTAAACATTGCCCAATATGTGACTGAGGACAAAAACAAATAGAAACACTGCAAACTCCTAAATTAACAAAATGAGTAGTCTGATACAAAAATGATCAGGAATATTATTCAGCAATTGCTGAGTATTTGAGTCATTTCTTCCAAAGTCCTACTTAAGTAGGTAAGGCAGGATTCTCTTTATAAATGCTTTTCTGCATTTTGGGGAGAGAGTCTATTCCTCTTTTTATCCAAAACATATGCGGCTGTAGTTGTACTGAATTGTCGCTCACCATCAACACTCGAGTGTTAAACATCAAGCATTAGAAATAGAAATACAATATAAATTGCATAAAGTAACCAAATGTAGAAAAACAGTGTAATCTTCACAAAAGTGATTTAGTTAAGAGCAATGAGAGACTGTTTGATTAACATGAATGGCAAAGACGGCAGCAGTTTTATTAGCCCGCTTTCACTTTAACACCGAATGCACTGTTTACGTTTACGAAGATACTCGGGCATTTTGACACACAAACCCAGTAAGATAAGTACTCATACGCTGTATGAGCAGCAGCTTTATGTGCGCACGTTCCATGAGTGTGTGCACAGAACCAGTCTCTCAGACAGCGTGCAAACTAGGGGTGTAACGGTACATGTATTCGTATTGAACCGTTTCTGTTCGAGGCTTCCGGTTCGGTACGCATACAAACCGAACGATTCCTTGGACCATTTTTCCTGCCGACAAAATTCGCGCTGGCGCGACCACCACAACGTTGCGCAACATCAAATGGCAAGCGTAATGAAAGCGGAACGAAACTGCGGTACTCATTATGTGCTTCACGGATCGTTTATCAGTTCGGACCAGCAACATCTGTGCAGCGCGAGCCGATCTCGATCAAGCGACACTGTTACAACACAGCGCTAAGATCCAGTAAAGAAAACATTTGAGTTCGCCACTGAAGTAATAACATCGCTGCGAGATCTAGTGAGAAGCATTCACATTTCTCCGTTATTAACCGTAGATCTCTATTAGATCAAACAGCGCTGACGTGGACACCAGGAGAAATATTGTGCCGTGAATGAACTAGTAATACTTTACGTCCACAGACCAGCAACATTCACCATGGATTTAATATAGTAACACTAAATGTAACCAGTTTGGCTGGAATAGTGAAATGCTTTCAAGTACTTCACACATCTTTTTCCAGCACTTCAAAACTCAAATATTATATAAATAAATATATGAAGAGTTCAGATGCAAAAGCCTCTAAGTGCCATTTGAAATTTTCTTCTAGAATTATCATTTTTATGAAGCTTGTATATTTAAGTTCAGTAATTTCACTCAAATGACAATTAATAGGTAATCTTCATTGCCATTTAAGTGAAATTACTGAACTTAAATATACAAGCTTGATAAAAATGATCATTCTAGAAGAAAATTTCAAATGGCTTTTGCATCTGAACTCTTCATATATTTAAATGTTATTTTTTAATGTGATGACCAAAACATTATTTGTTTATCCTTCAAAGATGACACCCATTTATAAACCTGAAAGTTTCAAGATGTAGGAAAACTCACACTTATTTAAAAAATATTTTTTCTTTTAACAAATAGGACATTTCTCTGGCATTTCTTACTTTTTGCTGTATCGAAAACGTACCGAACCGTGACTTT